CATATAGACATATTGTATACATCGAGACATACAACTACTTAATGTGATGGTATTTAAGTACAAGTATGACGGTAGGATGTTTTCCATATTACTTGCTGATGATGCATAATAACCTGCGGGTACTTTAAAAGTCAATTGCGTTTAATTTTTTATAGTTTTTCAAGCTTGACGTCTTAACTACTCACTTTCCCTAATGTAGACAAATGAATTAGTCGTGGCTCCACAGTGCTACCTCATATTATCACAAATCTTAGTTTCAGCCCATTTTGAGGTTTCATTTACTTTTCCTGACATATTTCCTCTCTTCTTCTTGCTCCGTAACTCACCTCCTGCTTTGTCTCTGTGTGTATCTGTCAAAGAGAGTGGGGGGGGGGGGGGTGCTCCACCCTCCCTGCACAGCACTCCATCCCTCTCTCTGCGGCACTGCAAGGATTTGTTTGTGTGCGTTTGCTCCATCTCTGATCTCACCTCACAGCGTCTCTGCATTTTTATTGTCAGCTCTTTAACAAAGATGTGTTCTTGGCCGAGACCCGGGCCTGGACACGGACACACAGCACTCGCCAAATCCCCAAAAAGTTTTCCCCTCGTTCCTCTTTACTGACACTGAAATTATAACCTGAATTTCGAGCTGCTGCATCAAAGTTTAAGTGCTTTTTAAATGGGAATCACCAGCATAGTTCTGTGACAGTCACACAAGTGAGCTGTTTATACATTTAGCACCACACGCTACACAGGATTTGACAGCTGCTCCCACCTGATTCTCATCATTTTTGCACTGTATAGATGGAGGAGATCACGCTATCAAAACAAACTCAAAACCTCTACACACTTAACGTCCGTGAGTTTTATGTGATTATATTCTAAACACTGTAAATACTTCAAGTAAGCAGCATAAGATCACAATCAAATAATGATTAATGATCTCTTTGGCCCGGTCGCTGGCACTCGCAGCTGAAATACGCCTGAGAAGTCCACGTGTCCTGTGATGAACTGCTCACCTCTGCAAGGTCTGAGTACGCCTGAGAAGTCCACGTGTCCTGTGATGAACTGCTCACCTCTGCAAGGTCTTTTCTCGCCTCTCAACAAATTGGGATAGATTCCAGCCTGCAGCACTTAAAGGGAAACTCAGTTATTTGTCAGCCTGCCTGTTATTTTCATGTATTTTGCTTTTCCCTTTGCAGCTGTAACACGGCAACTACCCCTGTTGTGGGACTCATGGAGGATCTTATCTTATCTTTGTTCGTTTCTGACTTTTGGTCATAATAATATTTTCTCTGCAGCTTTCCAAAATGACTCTGAAGTGATAGAAATCATCTTGTCATCTGTCCTTGAGAGGAAAGTTGTCCTCTGAAAGTCCCTGCAGCTGAATCTACAGAGCATTTTAAGCAGTTTTCAGACTTGAACTCAGAGAAAGGTCCGGAAAACTGAGTCCAGGAGTCTTTGAGAGTTTCAGCCAAATTCATGAAAACCATTTCTGGAACATCAGACGAGGGTTGATACTAATTTCACTGCGGAAATCAAATGGCTTTGTTTCCCGCACATCAACACAAGCATCTGACCTCATCGCCAAGCTCTCGAATCTTGTTGTCTTTCCAAGTTGACACTAATGAAGTTTCCATCTTCTTCATGTGTGCACCTCTTTTTCATCCTCATACATTTTTTATTTTTTCCATTTTCACGTCTGTTATGTGTTCGCAACATAATCAACACGCCCACTAGCTTACTGTGAATCCTGCTCTACTCCTACAACATTTTTTCCGTACATTTTATTAGGGGGCTGGCAGGAAACATTCCAGAAAATGTCCAAAGCGACTCCGACATTTGTATTCTCACAGCCGGTACCTCCAGATAACTTCAGTGTGTCTCTGGAAGCAGCATCAGAGCAAACGCATAAGACCTTTATAGATAGAGAGATGTACTTTATTTATCCCAAACTGGGAAACTCCTGTGAAAAGCTTGTACCAGGTAAACAGTCACAAATCTCTGACTTACTTTAGCTGAGTTGAGAATTTTGATTCCTCTTCATCTATGTCTCTTTTTGAGTGAATAACAAGAGCAGCAACACTATGAAACCCTTTCAGAGCAGACAGTCAGACTTTCTCGGACGCCACCTCATTTCCAAGTGTGGCTTTTCGGAACAGCTCATAAAATGTAATTATTTTCCCTTTTAAATGAATAATTAACAGAGCGGAGAATTCTCCCACGTCAGCCTTAATTTCACTCTCCTCAAGATAGTGACAACCTCATAATGAGGCCTGAGACTCTTCAGATGTCGTGCTGTGCTGTGAGCATCTCCAGTGATGTCACCGCTTCATGTGTTAGATTAGAGCGGCAGGGGAAGTCCCCGGTGCGTCTGAGCGTCCAAGCTCTTTTGAGAAACTGGTTCAGTGAGGTCTCTGTTGAGCAGAAGTACACATGCTCCTGTTTGAGTACATATTTTAATGCCCTCGTAGCTGTTTACACATAATTATAGTGTCTGCTGCTGTCTTAGAACACACAAGGACAGAATCTAGCAGCACTAGGTATGATGATTAACAACAGTGCCACAGGCCAAACACCAAACATCTTAAACAAGAAGCTCATTGCCCACAACTTTCAACCAGATGATGCAGACTGAGCGAATCCTTCCACCAAGGCCCAGTAGTCCCCTTAAATTCACACACCGATAGATATCAATCCCCTTTAATGTGTCTGATTATTTTCATCAAGATCCATGAATTATTCTCTGGGATTTCTCACAATATTAATTAAATTTGGTCCAAACTTTCGACTCAGAGATGAGCTGATTATATTTTGGTGGTTGGATCATGAATGCCCAGAGGCATTTTCATTACATGGGGCACAAACTTCCACCTGGACTTAAGGATGACCTGAATAGAATTTTGTGGCCAAAGGTCAAAGGTCAAGGTCACTGTGACCTCACATTATTTTGCCTTGTGAAAGCAATATCTCCAGACGGCCTCGGGGGAATTCTTTCACATTTGGTAAAACCATTCACTTGAGATTGGATTTCCTTTTAATTGCAAAGGGTCATGATATCTTAAGATCAGCTAAAGGGGATGTCTTCAAAGATGAAATTATTCATTTTTGGTGCCTGGGGGTCAAAGGTCAACGTCACAGTGACCTCATGTTATTGTGAATGTGATATCAGGACAGCCTGTTGCGAATCTCATTACATCTGTCACAATTCACTGGGACTCACTGATTAACTGATTAGATGTTGGTCGTCAATGATCAAAGTCAAAAACATGTTTTTGGCCGGTTGAATAACTGCTTGAGGGAATGTCTTCATCTTTTGATCAGTTGTTGCTTGGACTCAAAGATAAAGTGATTATGTTTCCGTGGTAAAAGGTCACAGTGACCTTATATGTATCTGGAAAAAAAAGGGTTGTGGAAATATGTTCATGGAAACTGCACTGGTTGGCAGAGGCCTCCCACCTTGGTGCTGTAATTCTAGTACAAAAGGGATTGTGGGTATTAAAGATGGCAACTCTGTTTGTCTTAATTTCTAGCTGTGCAATTAATGTGCAATCAGTTGCAGTATATATATTCTCACACTAAACTCTGTTTAAACTGTATGTATTATTTCTATTTCATTTTGATCTTTCCTTGCTTATTGCAGGTTGACTTTACTTTTACTGATACTGTCTGTTATTTAGCTGCTGCAACACAACCAATTTCCCAAACTTTTTGAGTCTAATGAAGTTTTCTTGTCTTGTGCCACAGTTTCTTGCTTTTGAAGTAAAACTACATTTCACCGTTGTGTTTTTTTGAATAGACAGGCTACTGAATTGTGTTGTTGCACTCACATTGTGTGTGTGTGTGTGTGTCTTTCTGTGAATGTGTGTGCATCCAGCAGCTGGATGTCATTACTCATGTTTGTGTGTGCTCTGCTCCGCTCCCCTTTTGGCCTTTTGTAAGTGTCTGCAGAGCCAAAGGCTGTTTCCCTTGTGCACTGCTGAGCAACCAGAAGTTTAATGTTCTCCACACAAAATTAAGCCGGAGCCAGGACAAGCTCCCACATCACTCAGCGTCCTGACTGTCAGAGCTTTTTTTTCTCCCACAAACGACTCACACTGGGGAAACATTGGCTTTGGTGTCATATATATTTGAAAAGATCCTTCAAATCAGGTTAGTCAGATGTCAGGAAAGTCGCCAAGGGCTTTGTAACGTAAGATGTTTTATAATGAGGAAGATAAAAACACAATATGGTTGTGGCCATATTTTCAACTTCATATTTGTTAAAGTCAGCCATGCAGTGAATGTGTAGATAGAGAGTGGCACAGTGCACAACGCAAGTATCTTTGCTGGTTAAAGAACAACACAGTTGTAATTTTCCAGCACCACATTTTTAAAGTATCAAATGCCCTTACACCCATCTGAGTGCCAATCATTGTTTTTTACCTCTGCCAGGGTTATGTTTTCATCTGCACTTATTTGTTCTGCAGAATCATTCAAAAACAATATTCATGAAATTTTGTGGAGGGGTTGGGCATGACCCAAGGAAGGATCTATTAAAATTCTGTGCAGGGGACAGATCCAGGAATATTTTTGTACATTTGTGAGATGGTGATTTTAAAAATTATCTCTGATTTCTCAGAGAATAATTCATGGATTTTGATGAATAATCAAGCATGTTTAGGGAACTAATATTTATCGGCATGTGCACTGTTGTACATCTGGAACTAGTGAACTTAAATGTGGTTTCATAAAGGGATTGATTCTGCCTACTTTCTTGATTTTTTTTTTAAACTTTCAGTTTGAATATGATTTATTTTATGGTCTCAGAATCTCCTTGTGTTTAAATTTCATTTTGTTTATTTGGATGGTTCTGTTTGCACTGAATTCTTAATTTCCTGTTTTAATTTGAAACGTCTCTCCTTGTGTGTCTGTCTTCCTTTACTTCTTGTCTTTGTCAGATTTCCCGCTCTTGTGATTGTTTACTCCTGGTTCCTCATGTGTTACACCTGCACTCAATTTGCTTCCTCGTGTATATAAGTCTCTGTTTTTTCACTTTGCCACGTCGTCCGTTTTAGTTCAGTCCCGATCCTCCCTGATATGTCCAGAGTTTTTCCAGCTTGGTTCTCCTTATTCTACCTGGAAATAACTGTGAGTCAGATTCAACACTTGATCAAGTCCTCATCTGTATTTGTGTGCTCAAATGATTCAAACATAGCCACGGTCAGGCCTTGGCACCATATTTCACTGTGCATGAAAGCACACTCGCTAGTTTTGTCCCTTCGTCACCAAAATACATTACATTTTTCTGGGTTTAGTTTTAGATGAGCTTTGTTTGTTGCATGGCATCAATAATGTTCTCTTTGTTTAGAGGACGATTTCAAACTGGAACTGATTCCTTCACGCCCTTTGGTCACAACACGAGCGGACTCTAGGTAAGTCTCAGTTTCTGTTCTTTCAAACTAAAACACCTAAAACCATGGCCAGCAACGCTTCTCAATGTCTCAGAAGTAGCATGTACGTGAGATTTAAATAAAACATGGCCATGTGGCCTTAGCCTATATATCTGTTCAGGTAACATTAGTGACAGTCTGACAGACACAAAAGTTTGTGAGATGCTTCTTATTAATCTCAGTGCAACAGGTCAAGCTGCTAAATCCTCTTCTGACAATCAGTGTTAAAGACGAATCAGGAGCAACAGTGTGTGAGACGTTCCATTAAAACTTGTGCATTCATTTGTCTATCATGTTACTGGTTTTTATCAGTAGTTGAAAAATGTTTTACATTTTGTCATAGTTCTTGTTTTTTGTTTGGTTTTAATCAAATTTTCATCGTGAAAAATAGTTTCCAGTCATAACTTAATAAATCAAGACATACATGAGACATGCATCTACTGAAGCCACTGCTACATAAATGAGATGAAGAAAGTAGTATCGGAGGAAAATACCAGATCTGTGTGGATTAATAAAACTATCACCTTCCTCATGATACATGAAGAAAACATAAAATCCACATTTCTACATTGTATTTCACCTTTTGATGTTTTGCACAGTCATACCATCTTCTTTTGCCCTCGGCATCTGCCAAGTATTTAATGGCAGCAATTAGTTTTAATTAGTGCCAGCGACTGTTTAACCAAACAAACAGCTTCCTATTTCTCACTGAAGAAAAGTGTATGACGATGTGTGTAAAGTCTCATTTCTTGTGCTGATTTTCTTGAAATTACGTGAAAATTTGCACTAAAACCCACCATAGTAATTGATTTATTGTCAATCTTAAATGTGGATCAGACAGAGCTCTAAACAACAGTTGTTCCGTCTCTACAGCAGTAATTCAATAATTTGTTCCTCCACAGCAGCTCTGTCTCCAATAACTACTGGTGCTACTAGACGATGCTGCTCTTTGCATGGTTCATGATAGAGAGCTCAAATTAATTTAATCATGTAAATCAGTCTTCAAAGATTGAGTTGCATCACACAGAAATGATATGCTGATAAACTGGTGTCCACTGAAGGTCTGTGGACATTTAAAAGCAATTTTACCATTAGCTTGTTGGATATAATTAGTTCTTCCCAGATTTTTCCTACTGGCACTTTTCTTCTGGGCCGCTGCCATCGTCTTCCTGATGTAATGTCTTTCTGTTCGGTGTGGCTGTTAAACTGCAGAATAATCCCAGACTGCACAAACAGCAGCGTGAATAATGAGAGACAAATGGTGGCCTTTTAATCCTCCGGGAGAAACAATAGCTATGCGGAGAAGCCATCTGGTTATTCTGTTATTTACAGAGTGGATAAAATATTCACTTCTCAAAACTAAGTGGAAAGAGCTGAAAATGCAAAAGTGACAAAAACACAGAGAAAACTTGGATCACTCACTTACTATTCAAACGTTAACTGTATATAAAGATGGACGAAATGAAGGCTGGCCAAAAATGGTGAATATTCTCGATCGCCCCCTGGTGACTGGCTGGAGTGTAGGTCATGAAGCCAGCCTCCATGTTAGCGAGAGTCAAAGTACAGATCAAATCATTTTTTCTCAAAGATGGTTTCTTGTTATCACTGATGTGTGTTCATGTATGTCTGTATCAGTGGCCACATCAGCCGATCCCCACGGTGCAGACTCTGTATTTCGGCAAGTGTAGGAAGTGTAAATGTGTCAAATTAATTTCCAAAATGTGCTGAAGCTTTTTAGAAAAGAATTACTGCATATCTTGTTTAACACTACACAGTCATCTGTGAATTTAGCTTTCTTTGGAGTGACACAGTCCATCACCCCCATTAAGTAAAACCCATTAAGAGCAGAATTCCAGATGTTGTTTCCTCTGGAGATTTGCCAAACTACTGTGTCTCCTGTGAAATAAGCCAGAACCCATAAAGTGCTGTTTGACTGGCGACATCAGGGCCAGTGGTTGGACCGGTTTGTCTTTGTCTGATAGTCTTACAGTGAACGTCTCCGACTCCTGAAGATCATAACAAGGATATTTTCTCTCTTTCAGAAAACTCTTACATGGTGTGACACTTCAGCTGCAGTCCCATTGAAACAGATGAAGCTAAAACTAACGTGTCAGGTTTAACGCAGCAGCTGAGCTGTTTGAATCTCCAGACATTTCATGACAACCATTATTAACATGCTCATCAAAGGCAACCTAAATGAAGTGAATGTTGTTTTAATTCTATGATGTTAAAATTCTTCAAATAAAGTCAGTTCCCCAAAGTCACATCACACATTGAATATAGTGAATAAGGAATAAAAAACTTCAAGAAGTAGAAACCTAAGCTGGGAACATATTTAACAGATAAATCTCTCAGTTAACTTTTGAGTTTAGACTATGGACTGCACATAAATCTAAAAGCTTTTGGGAAGCCATCACGTCGTTCATCTTTATTTACAGTCGGCTTTAGACAGTCTAAAGAAACGTATTGAACAGACAATCACAAACTGAGTAATGTTTAGTGAGTCAGCTTCAATTGATGCATATCAGAACTTTGAGTTTTCTTATTTTGTAAATCTCAACTACTTCTCAGCCCTCATCTCTGTTTGAAGTCCAGCACATGACGTTTCTGTCATCGTTTCCTTCCTCACCTTCAGTGAGCTGCAGCCAAATGTCTTTTTCCTCAAATATAAAATGGACCTCTGGGCTCACGTGCCACAAGATAATAAAGGGCCTCAGGCAGAGGGTTGCATGCGAAGCAGTGTGAACAATAACCTGGCGCGGTGACAATGAGAGCTGCTCCTTCACCCTTTTTTTCCTTCCCTCTCCTCTCTCTCCCTTTCTCCTGAGGTCACTGCAGGACACAGCTGTGGATCACGACGACATTGTGTTTCAACCTCTGTTGTCTGTTTTTTGGGCCGCGCAATTAAAAGTAACAGCTGTGACGTGCAAACCCACCTGTTCCAGGATCTTGCTCGACGAGATCATTTGTGCGTCGCCGTGTAATATTGGCTAAAATTTCAAACCTCAGAAAACCTGCACGTATTTCTGGTTGAGCTGGTTGGATCTGCCGCTGAGAGAAAAACAACTCTATCATCCGTGTTGATGTCATGCAAAGTTATGTTACAAAACCTGGGCCCAGGAGGGACACACTCATGTGTTTTGATCAAACCTGCGCCACAGGGTAGCAGGACAACGCTTTAACCACCAAACAGTGGAGTCTGCTGTTTTCTTTGTCTGTCACAGCGATAATTCAGGCAGTTTTCATCCTATTTGGATTCAACTTGGCAAGTTGTGTGGGAGGAAGGTCAAGACCTGTGCTATCGATTTATTTATTTTTTGTTCAGATCTGTTTAAGGTCAAGGTCACAGCATGGGAGCAAAGTTTTAGCCTCATGTAAACAGTAAAATGAAAAGAGCCTAGAAGTTTGATTTTGACCAAACATGGCGTGCAGCCTTGGAGAGTGAGGGTCCACATTTCTGTTCTAAATGAACAAGATCGGTGGATAACCATAGGCGCCATCGACCAAAATATCTTCCCCACGGTCAGGGCCTGGTGAATCTTGGCTGTGATTCTTTGAGAATTTGTCCAGTCATCATTATATCTTGGTAAGTATCTTTAAGCCTTGGTTGGGAACAGGCCAACCAAAGCAGTTTCAGCCTAATCCATAGGCCACAAATATCGTATCATTTACAGCCAGAATTTTACACAATAGGCAGACATGTTCAAGACCTCTTTGTGCAAATTTGATGAGACTCACTTGCAACAGCTCGTACTATTTCCTGAACACACGTATCTCTCGCGTCTGACGACCAAATGATGAAACTTTGAGTGCACAGTGATTAAATGTTACACATTTGTCAGATCAAATCAAGATCATGGAAGATAACTTTTTAAAGATAAACCCTAACACTACGGGAAATAAATGTTTCTGATTCAAACAGACAGGGTATGTGACACAAACCTGAGAAACCAATCCTCTCAACTCGTGGGTGGGGCTTAGTGTCTGGAAAAGGATCCTCAACTACAGGTGAGCTTTGAGGAGGAGTGGGGGTGGGGTTACATTAGCATATTCATAGATCCAAGGCACCAAATGAGAAAGGAAGGAGTTTTAAGATGGAGTTTGAAAGTTGATGGGTAGAATTAGTTGTCATACAAATTATTTTGAAGATCACTCATTGCTGCTGGTGGATTAAATTTTCACAACTTCAGCTAAACAAATTATTAGCATTATTATTATTATGCTCTTCAGGTCTCACATTCATGTAATTTTCTTTTGCTGTCCTCCATCCCTCTTCCAATTGTTTGGTTACTCTGTATTTAAATTAGAATTTTCTTATAATGTTACATGTTAATATTTATGACTGCATGCAGAGTGGGTGTAGTATTTCTAGTCGCATCTTTCTGAGAAGTTTGTTTGATTATTGACCAATTAAATAGATTATACTTGACATGTGGTAACAGTTGAGGTATTTTTGCTTTGAAAAACAAAAGCCCTGAAAAACAACTATTATAATATAAATATTAGATATTACATGTCTTTGCTGGCTCCAGTGAGTGAAACCTACAGTCGCTGCTCTTCATGCATTTTGGCAGTGGTTTTGGAAGCATTATAATCTTGCCAGAACAGGATCATGTAGCACTCCTGTCTCTTAGCTTGTCGATTTGAATGGCTGCCATGTCAGAGTGCCAGGTCCAGGTCACAGTTTGTTAGTCGGGTGGAGGCGAGGGGGAGAAAAAATCTGATGTATGGGCCATTGTCTGACGGTCTCTGGAGGTGGTGTCGGTTTCTCTCTCACAGATATACTGCTGATTGAGATGGAAAATCAGCATCGCGGCTTTTACGGCTGTTGAGGTGTCCCCTGAAGTCCTGAGAAAAGATGTGACGAATGGATGAAATTATAGAAAAGGAGGAATCTGGCTGCATCAGTTGGATCCATTGAGACTTTTCACTTTCTCTTATCTACAGTAGCTGAATATACAGAATGTTTGATCTACCCCTGA